GGGGATGCGTCTACATCCTTCGTGGGCCCCACGACCCTGTGCCAGCAGTCAACATATCGGTCAGCGACAGCGGAGCTGTCACGACCGAGATTGTGCGTGACACTTTGATCGAATTTGGCATCCCACAGCATGCAGCTGCTCTTGAGGAGGCGGCGCAGGTTCAGCTGCGCCGTCCCTTTCGGCGCTGAGCCCGACTGCTCTGTAAGTGTAGGCAGTTCCCCTCCCTCCTCCTCCCCCACTCCTTGTGATTATGTGAACTTCACGGATCTCTACATGCCTAGCCCTTCTCTGTCTTTATGTACGTGGAACTGTGAGGCACTGATGTCATCGGTCAGGTCGCAGAACATCCTGGCTTCTAAGCGGTACTTTCGATATATACGGTTATGCAGGAAATATGATATCGTAGCTACACAAGAGACACACGGTCATATTGGTGACATATCAGAATTGGAGCGCGAGCTCCGCACGCACAGGTTCGGCTTCTCATTCTTTAACGACTCCAACCGCGAGGGCGGCGTCATCACTGCTATCTCATCTTCCCTCGCCTCCCAGTTCCAGGACATTAGTCATCATGCGCTTATCACTGGCAGGATCCTCAAGAGTACTCTCACTGGTCCCCGAGGCAATTTGGTCATATATAACGTTCACCTCCCCAATACTTGTGATCCTATTGCTATCTATCAGGGAGTTCTTCGGATCCTTCAAGCTGACTTTAACTCGCACTGTCACGGCGGCGGTGATCTGCCTGCCCATTGCGTCATCATGGGCGATTTTAACTTCGTTCTTGAGGAGGAGGGTAGGTTCAAGGGTGACGGGAGTGGGTGGACTGCTGGTGATTCTACGCATGCGAGATTATTCCACAAGTTCTTCCCGTGCCTCACCGAATTATTTCAAGACCAGGACACGAGACGGGGAAAACGGGGTAAAGCGGTCCAGGTTACCTCCAGGATTGACCGCATTTACACCTCCCTCCCCCCTGCCCTGCTTCGGGACATTACCTCTCGGGCCGGTGTCCTTGGTTCCCTCCAAAGCTTCATGGCTAGTGATCACATCCCTGTTATTGCTTCCCTTGAGATTTTCCCCCCTTCGTCGCGGCACCCTGTCATCTCTCCTTGGCTTGCATCCTTACCTGAGTTTCACTCTGCCCTTGACGGGCTCTTGGGTGAAATTCCTTTGTCCTGGGGTCCTCTCCCGAAGCTTCAGGTTGCTAAAGATTACTTCTTCGAGGCCGCCTCCGCAGCGCGTGCTGCACTAGGATCCCGCCAAGCTGTTTCTCTCCAAGATAAGCATCACTGGTCTCTTGCAGCCCTTCGTGCCCTTCGTCTCGGGCATGAGCAGCGCCTCCGCCATGCAGTCGCTTGCTACCCAAGGCTTCGTGTCCACTTTAATGCTGATCTAACGGAATGTGTGCATTTGGATGGCCTGTGTCAACATGTCCGTACTCTCTTTCTTTAAATCTTGAAGGACGAGGAGGATGCTATCAGTAAGTCGGTCCTTGACGCAGACCGCAAGCGTGACCTTTCTGCCCGTAACCAGCGCCGTAAGGAGCTCTGGACGAAGTTTCGCAAGCGCACGTATCTCTCGACTGTTTATGATGATCAGGGCTCTCCCCTCACTTCCTCGGAGGCCTCAGCTGCTGCTCTCCGCGATTACTGGCGTGATGTTTTCAAGGCCCCGTCGGTGGACCCTTCGCTCTGGGACGAAATCAACCCGTTCATCCAGGTTCTCTCGGGCCCTTTGGATCGCGACTGGCTTCTTCCCTATCATATCTGGTTTGAGCTCATCACTAAACGTCATCATAGTATGCCTGGGCCTGACGGCATTCCGTACGCCGTCTGGAAGAATGAGAATGCCTCCAGAATCCTCTACAGTGTCTACCTTTCCCTCTTTGACGGTCAGGTCCATTCTCTTCCTGATGACATGAAGAGAAGCCTTTTAGTCTTTCTGCCAAAGGGCTCTGACCCTCGTGATGTTCCTGGCTGTCCGCACCTCTGTCGACATCCCTCTGCTACTAGGCCGCTGAGCATGTGCAACACGGATATCAAGTTGCTTGCTAACGCCTTCACGTCCGCACTTGTTGTTCACACTGCCCCTCTTGTCAGTCGGGTGCAAGCTTGTGCGCGTGGTCGTGATATGCTTGCGAACGTGATTCAGGCTGAGGCTTGGGGCATCTCTCGGCACATGTGTGGTGATAAGTACTCTTCCCTCTTCCTTACGGACTTCTCTGCTGCCTTCCCCTCTCTTTCTACTGCCTGGCTATTTCACGTTCTTCGTATGATGAGTATTCCTGCCCCTGTTCTTCGATTCTACCAAATGATGTATGAGGATAGCATTGCTCAGATTACTATCTCTTCTCGGCGTTATGATTGGATCGCTATCACCTCTGGTGTCAAGCAAGGCTGCCCTGCCTCCATGCAACTATTTGTGCTTGCAGTTGATCCTCTGCTGCGATGGCTTGGCCATCGCTGTTCTCTCAACATCAGCATTCACCTGGCTTATGCGGATGACTTCCTATTTGGATTGGCCAACACATTGCGGGATCTAGGGCCAGTTTTATCGTCTCTCATGCTCCTGGAAAAGATTGCTAACCTTCGTTTGAACTTTAAGAAGTGCCAGATTATTATTTGTAGTGAGATGAATAAGGACTTCCTGAAGGCTACCCTTGCTTCCTTCGGCTCGCCGTATGATGAGATCCTAATTTGTTTGTGGGCCCTCTATCTGGGAATCCCCATTGGTCCCGATGGTCACCTACATGTCTGGGATGATATCGCTCCTCGTTTTCACCATCGTATTAGACACACACGTGGGCTCGGCCTTGGTCTAGCTTTATCGGCCGTCTCGTTTAGAGTCATGTGCGTCTCGCTCCTTATGTTCAGGTTCCAGATGTATCCTCCCAACCAGGCTATTACTAAGATCTTCAAGGAAGGGGTTTTGCTTCTCACGGTTGGGCCGAGGAATGCTATTTCGTACAACTTGGCCACTAAATTTAAGGAGATTGGTCTTGGTGCTGAGTTCACTGACATCCATGCCGTAGCGAAGGCGGCGTGCATCAGGTACTCCCTTCGCTCTTCTGTTTTCCAGCAGGCTCTAACTGATCTCGAGGCCGCCCGCGATGATCCCGAGCATATACCGTTTCGCTGGCACCGTGGTTGGCACAAGTCTTCGTTTATCTCTTATATGCGTGGCCTGTATTCTTGGTTCCATAGTGTCAATCCCAATATAGATATCACGAGTAAGACTCTTCAAACCAAGCTGTACGCTCTTCTCCGCCAGCACCACCAAACGGAACCTGCTCAGTCTATCCTTCTCCGCCGTGCTCAGTATTTTATCCCTGAGGCTCGGGCCTCGATGATATCAGACTTTCGGCTGAACGTGAAGAGAGTGGTGAAAGCTACTTCCATGTATCTTGGAGTTGCCCCTCTACGTCTGCTCACGGCCTCTTTCAACACGAGTGCGAGATTTCACTGTCAAGCTGCTGGTTGCCTCTTTGGGTGCGCTCCGCCAACTCCTGGGAAAGACCTGGACTCTATTGATCACTACTGTTCTTGTCCTGGGCTTCGGGACCTCCTGGACTTCTGGCTGGGCCCTTATCTTGAAATGTATTCTGGACCGATCCGTGGACCGAATGGCGAGCGACCGTACTGGTTCTGTCTCCTCCTCCTCCTCTTCCGCGAGCCTCCTCATGTCTGCCTGTTGCGTGCTGCATGCTGTGATGCATTTTTGGCTGCCCATAATGCACGTCGCCTCTCGTGTGCTGGCTCTCCTGTCGAGCACTTCGAGGCCCGCCTCCGTGTCACGGCCCGGAGACACCAGGTTTTGTCTGATGCGTGGTCGGGCCGATCGCCCACCATCGTGCGCAGGCTTACCCGTCGTCCTCCTCCCCTCTATGTTCCTCTGCCTTCTGGGACAGGTACAGAGGCGCTGCCGTCCAGGATGCCTGGCACCCCCCGCGGCAGGTGGGAGCCTCCACAGTAGCTGTTATTTCCTCTTTGCCTGCCAAATATAACCACTGCGCACGGGGCAACCTGGGCAACGCTGCTGCACCTGGCTATGCAGCCAGCGCAACATCAAACAGTAACCGAAGCGCTGCGGGGTTTAATATAAAAAAAAAAAAAAAAAAAAAAAAAGTGGCGGCGCGCACAAGGGGGTAAGGGGGAAGGGGGGCCTTTTTAGAAGGAGGCTACTCCTTAGAAGGCGTAGGTCCTACATTTAAAGATGAGGCCCGCGCCTTACAAATGGCCCCCAGGCGGCAAGGTCTCGCGCTTTTCCTGGCCTCCCACCCCGCGCAGCGGAGCAGCACGCTGTCTGCTTACAGGGCACAGCGTGTCGCCGCGGCCGCCGCCGCGACACGGTACGCAGAAACGGGGGCGCGAAGATGATCGCGCCTCGCGCGTCGCGTCTCGGGCAGCAGAGGCGCCCTTCTCCAGAACGGCCTCGCGAGGGCGCGAAGCCAAGTGAGGCCAGGGGGGCCAGAAACCCTCGCGCTCCCCGCGTCGCCCCTCCGCGCGCGCGCCGACGTGGTCGTCGTCGTCGTCCTCGTCCTCGTCCTCGTCGTCGTCGTCGCCCTCGAAGGACCGGATACTGTTCCGGGCGCTCGCTTCCGCGCGCACGTGCGCCACCTCGGTCGCCCGCGGCGGCGCGAGAGCGCGAAGGGAGAGCGCGCGTCGCGCGCCTCGCGGGGCGTGGCCCGTGACTGTCGGCGGCCTGGGGTCATCTCTTGTCCACGGCTGGGGCTGCCACTGAGGGCGAAAGACCGATCCCTATCGTATCCGCGAGCTCGCAGGCCGGGCCCCTGGGCCGCGGCCCCGCAGGTGTGGGGCGTTATCTCGCGGATGCCCCAGGTGGAACGTATCCGTGCGACCGCATATCCGCGAGTCGCGCCCCGTAATCCAGACCGCGAGGGCGCGGATGCGGGTACGTTCGCCGCCTCTGATGCCAGCGCGGGAGGGGCGGCGAGACTCTCCGCTTGCTCTCCCCGATCGGCTTCCCCCCCCCCCCAGGACGCAGTGCACGTCCGCGAACGGCGAGGCGGAGCTCCGCATCTCTTACTGCTCCGTGGAGGCGGGCTGTTCTCCTCAGCCCCTGTTCCTTATCCATGACGCCTCCACGTCGCACCCCCAGACGTGTCGGCGTCGGGAGGGCGGGCCCGGCGTTTCGCCGGAGACTGCCTCACCGCTCATGGCCCCGAGGCTTGACATTCGCAGCCAAGGGTGGAGGGCGGGTCGTTTTCCAAATGTGGCTCTCGCCGTAGCGCCGCGCACATTCGTCTCGAAAGTGCGCAGTAGCTTCAAGTCTGGAGGGCGGCCATTTTCAAAATGGGGCTCTCGCCTCAGCCTCACGCGCACTCGTCTTAGCAGTTTGAAGCAGTTTTCAAGGATAGAGGGCGGCTTGTTTTCAAGACGCGGTTCTCGCGTCAGCGCCGCTCACTTTCGTTTCAAAAGCGTGCAGCCAGCAGCTTTCTGGACGGAGGGCGGGCCGTTTTGAACACGTGGCTCTCGCGTCAGCGTCGCGCACACTCGCTTTGAAAGTTTGCAGCAGCTTCAAGGACGGAGGGCGGTCCGTTTTCAAGTTGTTGCCCTCGCCCTGGCGCCGCGCACATTCGCTTTACCAGTTTGTAGCAGCGTCAAGGGTTCGTATGGTTGAAGTCCTTGAGATGGTGTTCTGCCGCGATTTAGGACTGTCAGGATGCAGCGCGGTGTCGAAATCCCAGGAGTGCTGCTCTGGCACGGTTTAGGGCTGCCAGGACGCAGCCCTGATTTCGATTCGCGGCAAGGAAGTCCCAGGAGTTGCCTTTTGGCACGATTGAGGATTCTCAGACGGTTATCTTTCCATGGGGCATTTTTCGCATTGAGGGCCTATGAAGAGGTAATTTGGAGGAAGGGCTTATTGCAACATGCTTGATGCGTCTTGGGCTTGCACATTTTGACGCTGGTCCTCCTCCTCGTCGTTGTCCTCGTCCTGGCCCTTCTCCTCCTTGTCCTCCCCCTCATCCTGCTGCTACTCCCCGTCCTGCCCCGTCTGCATCTGATCTCCCTCCTCCTGCTCGTCCGCGTCCTCCTGTGCGTTCTCCTCTTCCTCCTAATCGTCTTCTTCTTCTTCTTCCTCCTCCTCCTACTCTTCCTCTGTCACCCGCTCCCCCAGGAGCCCCCGAGGACTCCGCGTGCGAGCCTTCCGATGCCCCCCCAAAAAGGACCAGGCACGCCCAGAAGCCCTGAGCCTCCAGACCTCTTGCGACTGGACTTGCTGGAGTCTCCATCTCGAGCACTTCCCCAGGCGTTGTCGTCTGCCTGTTCGCAAAACACTTCCCAGCCTCGGGATGCTTCCCTGCGGCGGCGGCTCGTCGAGAAGGGCGTTCACGGGGGTGCCCCGAATCGTTCCCTGTCTACTATCCAGCGAGACCACAGCCAAGGGAACGGGCTTGGGATAATCAGCGGGGAAAGAAGATCTTGTTGAGCTCGACTCTAGTCCGACTTTGTGGAATGACTTAGGAGGTGTAGAATAAGTGGGAGCTTTGGCAACCGCGGGAGACCCGAGGTATGGCCCGAAAGCCACCGATCCTCTCGGGGGGGAGCCCTGCTCCTCCTCCTCCTCCTTCCCATCCTCCTCCCTCTCCCCCTCCCCCTCCCCTTCCTCCTCCTCCGCCTCCTCTCCCTCGCCCCTCCTTTCTGGGACACCCGCAGGGGCGCGGACTGCGATTCGAGCCTCGCGGCCTGCGCCGAGCTGCCCTTCTCCGGGGTGGCGGCGCGGGGGCGCGAAGAGAAGCGCGCGTCGCCCACAGCGCGGCGCGAAGCGCGAAGCTGGGCAGCCTGGTTCCGTGGGGCCGTCCTTTTGTCCCGAGGCTTTTTTTCAAATGGCCCCAGGGCCCAGAAGCGGCCTCCACGGGCCGAAGGCGCAGAAGCACGCGCAGACTCTCCTTGGTTCGAGGCCCTGGAGGCCTAGCTCCTCGATGTTCCTCGTCCTCCAGAGGGAAGGTGTGGGGAAAAAGAAGGAGAAGAAGGAGAAGGAGGAAGAGGAGGAGGAGGAGGAAAAGGAGGAGGGGGAGGAGGAGAAGATGGAGGAGGAGGAGGACCGGTGTAAACCCAAGACTCTTCCATGGTGTTGGAATAAACCTTCCTTTCAAAGCCTTTGGAATAGGCCCCTGCAAGAGTTCCTTTCCACAGGGAAGTGCCCCGTTGGGAGACAACAGTTTGAAGATCCTGAAGCGTGCCAAGAAACGCCACGAATCAACCTGGCTGCTGCGTCTTGACGATCCCGAATCGTGCCAGGACACCATTCCTGGGACTTCAGCACAGCTAATCAACATGAGTGTTGCGCCCTGGCCGTGCTGAATCGCTCCCACAAGCCGGTTCTGGTACGTTGGCCACGGGAATCCGTGAAGCACTTGAAATTTTGTATGACGAAAGCGCGTGCGCTAAGGCGAGAGCCACATTGTGAAAAAGGAGCTGCCCTCAATCTGTGAAGCGCTTGCAATGTTTGAAAGCGAATGTGCGTGGCGCTTAGGCGAGAACCACATCTTGAAACCTGCCCACCTTCAATCCGCGAAACTACGGCAATGTTTCAAAACGAATGTGCGCGGCGCTAAGGCGAGAGCCACATTTTGGAAGCGATCCGCCTACATTCGTGAAACCGCTGTCAAATTTTAAACTTCAGGATCGTAATCGGTAACGAGGTCTCAGGCGAAACGCCTGAACCGCCTTTCCAACTGGCCTCGGGATGCGACTGGGAGGAGTCATTCATAATGAAAAGGAATACAGGAGGAGGGGGAAGAGGAGGAGGAGGAGGAGAACCAGTGTAAACCCAAAAATCATCAACGATGTTGGAATAAACCCTCCCGCCAAGCTTCCTCTTCATAGGCCCCTACAACGGTTCATTGATACTGAAGGAACTGCCTCGTTGGAAGACATCCGTTTGAAGACATTGAAGCATGCCAACACATTATTCCCGGATTCCAGCGCCACGGATCAACCTGACTGTTGCGTCTTGACGCTCCTGAATCGCGCCAGAACGTCATTCCTGGATTGCAGCACCGCGAATCAACGTAAGTGTGGCGCCCTCATACTCCTGACTCTCTCCGAAGCACCCTTTCTGCTACGTTGATCATGGGAATCCGTGAAACTCTTGTAGATAAACAAATGTGCGCGGCGCTCAGGCGAGAGTCACGTTTTGAAAACGACCCGCCCTCACTCCGTGAAGCCCTTGCAAAGTTTTAAACGAATGATCGCGGCGCTCTCTCTCGCAAATTGTTAATGAGACTGTGCGCGGAGCTACGGCGAGAGCCACGTTTTGAAAAGGAGCCGCCCCTTATCCGTGAAGCTCTTGTCAATAATTAATACGAATGTGGTCGGCGCTATGAACGAGAGCCACATTTTGAAAACGACCCACCCTAAACCGTGAAACTCTGGCTTTAAAGCGAGTGTGCGCGGCGCTAGGGCGAGAGCCACATTTTGAAAACCACCCGCCCTCAATCCGTGGAACTGTCGGCATGTTTGAAGCTTCAGGGTCATAAGTGGTGAGGAAGTCTTAGGCGAAACGCCCTGCCCGCCCTAAAAAAGGCCTCGGGGTGCGACAGGGAGAAGTTCTGTACAAGTATCAGGAATGGAGGAGGATAAGGAGAAGGAGAAGGCCTTTGTGGTCTCTGTCCCTGTCTTGTTTCAAAGTGAGCTGGACCTCTGGAGAAGAATATGGGTGCAAGCCCGGTACCCGGTCAGGTCGGCGGGCTGCTTGGGGTACAGCGTCCCTCCCTCAGAAGGGGAGTGGTCCGCCTGCCCCGCTGGCAGGGGACCCTGCTCAAGAGAAAAGGGGATTGCAGGAAGCGGGCGGCTACTGTTCACGGCGGTGCACCTCTCCTTGTAGAGGACCAGCACAATTCTGGGCGAGTGGGGCACAGGCGCAGCTCCTCCCACCACACACCCCTCTACCCCCTCCCCGCCACGGAGTCAGCACCCTCTCCCAGGGACCACTGCACGATGCACCGTCTCTTATCTTGCCGCGGGATCCTCTGTCCCGAGGCGGTACCGAGCGGCAGAGAAACCGAGGAGCCAGCAGGAGAACGGGAGAGGAGGACAGCCGAAGAACAGCGAGAGACAAGCCAGCAGCCGAGACCCCCGACCAGGGGGGGGAATCGAAGGGAAGGGGGAGCCGCGGAAGGCGATGGCCTAGCGAACGGACTGTTGTTTCTGTTGCTTCCCCGCTCTGCGATCACCACGCGACGCGCCAAACACGCGCCGACAACACGTGCGTGTGGCAGGTATGTTTTTCGTTTAAGCAGTTCTATATATGATACCATGGTACTCGATCTTTGGATTTTTGTGATCAAGCCGTAGCATGATGTCGGAAAGTTGTAATTCTCCACAAATCAATGCATATTCCATATATATATATATGCTTACATACACGTGGTCCAAAAAGTGTTGAATCGCGTACGTGATGCCCTTTACCCCGGCCTCTTGAACCGTTTGTGAAGCTCCGCAAAGGTCTCCAAACATCGTTTCGAGTTTACCCCGTTGTTGTTATGATAAGCCTGGGCTCTCTGATATACGGTTGTGTTTGCTCGATAGTGCTCAAAACATCTGCCAACGCCATTGTTTCTGCCAAGTTGTCCATTCCTGCCGACAGAACATTGCTGTCAAGTTCCAAAGTATATTATGTGTTGTTGGCGCAACAGTATGCGTAATATTCCAACCCGTATGGGAATTCATCTGGAATCGATTGAAATTGATCCAAGCTGGCTGAATTGCGAATCGCTCCACTCAACTCGTCAAGCTGAGGGTCTTCTGAGCTACCCTCAATGAACTCATTTGTATCCAGCGGCATTGCGCTCAAGATGTGGCCTCTGACTCAGGCGCTGGCGGGGTGACCTCTCCAGGACCGCATCCAGTCAACGCGTGCTCCTTCAATTGTTCTTCAAATTGCTCCAGCATGCTACCTTTCTCAGATTGTGCACGCTGATGGTCTCTGCTCTAGTCCGGGTGGGGGTGATGATGATAGGCCTCTTAAAATGTCCATCCTGGCAACCTGGTATTTCCTTGCATGGGTGCGTTGGATACGTTTCCGTCTTCTTTGGCTGGAGGTCGTATTTGCGGATCCCGGAAGCTCGAGACCAAATGCGGCACAAGACAAATTCATCAGAAGACGAAGAGACGATGCACGTTCAGGTATCGGATGTGTGGCCCCGCTGCTTCCTTGCCCGTGCTTCGCTAGTGGCGGGCCCGCCCGTCCCCCTGCCCCCCCCGAAGCTTGTAGGTATGGGGGGGCGCAATGCCACCTCGGGTGCGATTCTGCAGTCCTCACGGCTGGGCAAGATTCGAGTCCGTAAAACGGCAGCCTAGGAGGAGGAGGAGGAGGAGGAGGAGGAGGAGGAGGAGGAGGAGGACGAGGACGAGGAGAAGGAGGATCAGTGTAAGCCCAAGACTCTTCCACGATGTTGCAAGAATCCTTCCCTCCAAGCTCCCTCTTCGCAGATCCCTATACGGATTCCTTTTCGCTGAGGGAAGTGCCCCGTTTGGGGGACAACCGTTTGAACATACTGAAGCGTGCCAGAAAGCGCCATGAATCAACCTGATTGTTGCGCCTTGACGATCCTGAATCGTGCCACAACGCCGTCCCTGGGACGTCAGCACCGCGAATCAACATGAGTGGTGCGCCCTGACCACGCCGAATCGTTCCCAAAGTACCATGTCTGGTACGCTAACCACGGGAATCCGTGAGACACGTGCGACTTGTTTAGGACGAGCGTGCGCGGCGCTAAGGCGAGCGCCACAGTTTGAAATAGCTTTGCCGCCAATATCTGGAGGCCGGCATTTTGTTGAAAACGAATGTGCGCGGCGCTAAGGCGAGAGCCGCACTTTGAAAGCGGCCTGCCCTCAAGCCGCGAAATTACTGCAATGCTTTACGACGAATGTGCGCGGCGAGAGCCACAGTTTGAACACCACCTACCCTCAATCCGTGAAGCTGCTGTCATATATTATGCTTCAGAATTGTACACGGTAAGTAAGTCTCCGGCGAAACGCTGAGACCGGCCTTCCAACTGGCCTCGGTGTGCGACAGGGAAGGCTTTTTCATAAGGAATAGGAACGAAGGAGGAGGCGGAGGAGGAGGAGAAGAAAGAGGCGGAGGAGGAGGAGGACCAGTGTAAACCCAGGACAGAGCAACGACGTTGGAAAAAATCCTCCCTCCAAGCTCCTTCATAGCCCGTTACAAGAGTGCATTTCACTGAAGGAAGCGCCCCGCTGGGATGCAACAGTTTGAAGATCCAGAAGCGTGCCAAAGCACCATCCCTGGGATTCCAACGCCACGAACCAACATCCTGAAAGGGGCAGAACACCAATCCTGGGATTTCAACACCGCGAATCAACGCAACTCATGCGCGATGACAATCCTGAGTCGTTCCGAAGCGCCGACCTTGGCAAGTTAAAGTGGGAATCCGTATAACGCTTGCAACTTTTTAAGACAAGCGTGCGCGGCGCGAAGGCGAGAGCCACATTTTAATAATAAACCGCCCTCAATCCGTGAAGCTTTTGTGACTTGTTTTCAGACGAATGTGCGCGGCGCTGAGGCGAGAGCCACATATTGAAAACGGCCCGCTTTCAAGCCGCGAGACTACTGTAATGCTTATGTGCGCGGCATCAAGGCGAGAGCCACATTTTGAAAGCCACCCGCCCTCCATTCGTGAAGCTGTTGCCAATTCTTAACATGCAGGATCATACATGATGAGGAAGTCTCAGGCGAAACGCTCGGCCTGCCTTTTCGACGGGCCTCGGGATGCGACAGGGAAGCGTTCTTCAGAATGAAAAGGAATGGAGGAGAAGGGGGCGGACGGGGAGGTGGAGAAGGAGGGGGAGAAGGGAAAAGGGGAGGGGGAGGAAGAGGAGGGGAAGGGGACGGGGAGGAGGGAGGAGGAGGGAGGTGGAGGCGGGTCGGGGAGGGTGTCGGGGAGGGGGAGGAGGAGGGGGAAGCGGAGGGGGTGGGGGAGGGGGAGGGGCAGGGGGAGGGGAGGAGCAGGGAAGGAGGGCAGGGGTGGGGGGGGAGATGCCCTCTACGTTCCCCCCCGGTGCGGACCCTGTCGAGGTAGAATTCTTTGGCGCCTCCGGGAGGAGGAGGAGGATGCTGGTGGTGGTGCTGGTGATGATGATGATGATGATGATGATGATGATGATGATGATGATGATGATGATGATGATGATGATGATGATGATTATGACGGTGATGATGCTAATGACGATGATGATGATGGTGATGATGATGGTGGTGGTGGTGATGATGATGGCGACGTCGATGATGAAAATGGTGGAATGATGCTGATGACGATGATGATGGTGACGCTTGTGGTGGTGGTGTTGATGACGGTGGTGCTGATGATGATGATAATGGTGGTGATGGTGATTATGACGATGATGATGATTGTAGTGATGATGGTGATGGTGAAGGTTATGGTTATGATGATGGTGATGGTGGTGATATCGGTGATGGTGATGATGATGGTGGTGATGATGATAATATGAGTTATGATGATGATGATGCTGATGATGATAATGGGGGTGGTGGTGATGATGGTGCTGGTCGTGGTGGTGATGATACCGATGATGATGATGGTGATGATGATGGCGATGGTGATGATAGTAGTGGTGATCATGGTGGTGTTGATGACGATGATGATTATGATGGTGGTGATGGTGGCGATGGTGATGGTGATGATGACGACGATTATGATGGTGATCATGGTGATGGTGATGGTGATGGTGATGGCGATGATGACGGTGATGGTGATGGCGATGATGAGGATGATTCATTATGAGCGTTCTGCTTGCGATGCCGATGATGATGTTGATGTTGATGCTGATGAGGCTAATGACGATGATGCTGATGATGATGATGATGCTGATGATGATGATGATAATGATGATGATGATGGTGGTGGTGGGGGTGGTGATTATGGTGGTGCTGATGATGCTGGTGATGGTGATGATTGTTGTGGTGATGATGATGGTGATGGCAATCATGATGATGATGCTGATGATGATGACGATGATGATGATGCTGATGATGCTGGTGGTGGTGATCGGTGAACATGGTGGTGATGATGATGATGATGATGATGGTAATGCTGATGACAATGATGATGATGATGATGATGATGATGATGGCGATGGCGATGATAGCGGTGATGGTGAGGATGATGATGATGATACGTTTAGTGTGATGATGACGATGCTGGTGATGGTGATGGCGACGGTGAGTGTGATGGTGATGATGATGGGGATGATGGTGGTAATGGTGGTCATGGTGATGATGATGGTGATGATGATGACGATGATGATAATGTTGATGATGGGCATACTAATGATGAGTATGATGATGATGACGGTGGTGGTGGTGGTGCTTGTTGTGATGATGATGCTGCTGGTGATGATGATGGTGGTGATGATGACGACGATGATGATGGTGATGATGATGGGTGTGGTGGTGATGATGGCGATGGTGATGGTGATGGTGGTGACGATGATGATAATGACGGTGACAATGATGATCATGATGATGATGACGATGCTGATGATAATGATGATGGTGATGGTGGTGGTAATGTTGATGGTGAAGGTGATAGTGATGAGGATGGTGATGATGCTGGCGATAATGGTGATGGGGATGACGATGGTGATGATGATGACGACGATGATGATGACGACGACTGGCTCGTGCTGACCCCGTCGAGGTGGAGCTCTCGGACTCCTCGGCGGCGGCGTACACTGCGCAGGAGAGCCCGGGCGTGTGAGAGCGAGGGATGGAGGAAGCGGAGCGGGCGAGGCCTTTTTCCTCTTCATCCTCCTCCTCCTCCTCCTCTTCCTCCTCTTCCTCCTCCTCCCTCCTTTTCCCTGCTCCTCCTCCCCTCTCCTCACCCTCCTCCTCCTCCTCCTCCCCTTCCTCCT